CAGATTTGTTTATTCATTCAACAGATCTGCTAGGAACTGGAGAAACATTGGCAAGTAAAACAGACCTAAATATCTCTGCCTTGTGGAACTTAACTTCATCATGGAAGAGAAACATAAATATATAGGATTAGTTTTTCTCCATAAGTGCCATGGAGAAAAATAAAACAAGTGAGGGAGATTGGGGGATGTGGGAATGTTTCGGTGCCCCTGGAGCCCAAGTAGGTATCTTCTCATTCAACTTTTAATCTCATTTTTCTGAATGTCTTTTTTTTTTAACTAGGGGTTCTTTAATTTTTGTGATGATTCTAGGGCCAATTTACTATCAGCAGTTTCCAAAATAGCTGTAAATACCATGTAGCCTTTGAAACTAGTGCAAAATAAAAAGGGCCTGAAGAGCCACTTGCAGCTTTACACCTTCTCCATGAATCTTTGTTTTAAAATGATAACTATTAGCTTGTTGTATTTTGGATTTTGTTTTTGTTTGTGGTTTGGTTTTTTTGGTTTTTTTAGCATCTGGCCAGTAAGGGGATCTGAACCCTTGGCCTTGGTGTTAATTTTGGATTTTGAGTGACCAAAAATCAATCTGAAAGCGTCAAAATCTAAGCTATATTGATTACATGCATTAAAATTCATACAAGTTAAGATTTTGCATTCTTTGCCTAACTTTATTGCCGTAAATGTATCAGGGGTCAATAAACATCTGATGTTTTGTAGATGTGATTGAAACTTTTATGTTTTGGGGGAAATACGCAATAACATTTAAGCTAATTGGCCAATTTAGAAAATGAAGAGGTTCCAGTTTAAGTAAATTTTTGGTGAGATCATGGTTATAATTAATTTGTGTGGGAACTTGAGATTTGTGAACTCTCGTGGATGGTTGGTCTAAGAAGCAGATCACCCCCTGTGGTGTAACCACTATTTTGAATGAAAAAGTGGCACTCTAAACTGAGGAACCTTTCTCCAGCAGTTACAGGGGCACAGAATAGCTTAGAATTTCATAATGAGTGCCAGACATTTCCAGAGCATCTTAGGTTGCACATGTGAGCAAGCTAGAACAAGAGTAAAAGGCCTTGCTAAAGAAGTGGAGTTGGGCCGGCCCGGTGGCGCACTGGAGAGTGCGGCGCTTGGGAGCGCGGCAGCGCTCCTGCTGAGGGTTCGGATCCCATGTGGAGACCAGTTCCCGCTCACTGGCTGAGCGCGGTGCGGGTGCAACACCGAGGGTTGCGATCCCGTTGCCGGTCCCTGGTACGGGCGCGACACCGAGGGTTGTGATCCCGTTACCCGTCAGTAAAAAAAGACAAAAAGGAAAAAAAAAAGAAAGAAGTGGAGTTTAAGGAAGCAGTGAGAAAAATGAGAATAAAAAGTTGCCCTGGATTGCTCAATTAACAGAAAAACCTAGGTTAGAGATTTGATCATCTTCTCAAGTTTCTGTAAGCTGAAAGCAGATGAAAACTGCAGAAGATCTTAGTTAACCTAACTTGATGGTTCTATAACTTCCTTAAGCAGATGGTGTTTGACTAATACATGAAACGTCTTTCATTTGGGGTGTAGCTGTATTGAGAATGTACTATGCCTCAGTTATTATTCTGAGGCTTAGTCCATGAATTTATTTCATTAGTCTTTTATGTCTTAAATATATATAATACTTTTTAAAAAATACATCACCATAAGTTATTATTATTCTTTCTGACTATATCAGAAAGGAAGCTTTACATTGCATAGCCATCTTTGAATAAAATCTATCTCATTTCCTATTTCTGCTTGTACTAGTGGTTTTCTATACTTATAATGCCAATTGCATATGGAGTATAGTTACTATTTAGCCAAGATAATATTGTCACTTGCTTATTTGGTGATGGAAAGTATACTTACCTAATGTGTGCTTTTTCTTCATATTTCAGTCTGATAGTGGAGGAGCCTTTAAAGGTTTTAAAGGTTTGGTCGTACCTTCTGGAGGAGGATTTTCTGGATTTGGTAGTGGTGCTGGAGGGAAGCCTCTGGAAGGACTGTCGAATGGAAACAGCATAACTAGTGCCCCTCCCTTAACTAGTGCAAAGGCAGCAACAGAGCCCATGGCAGCCTTTGGTAAGTAGGTTCCCCTCCCCCCAGCTACATCTGTGTAAATCTATGAAAAATAACTTTGCAAGAATCTTTTTCTTTTTCTTTTTCTTTTTTTTAAAAAGATGACCGGTAAGGAGATCTTAACCCTTAACTTGGTGTCGTCAGCACCCCACTCTCCCAGGTGAACTAACTGGCCATCCCTATACAGGGATCCGAACCCGTGGCCTTGATGTTATCAGCACCACACTCTCCCTAGTGAGCCATGGGCCAGCCCCAAGAATGTTTTTCTTGTACTTACCTGGGTCCTGGGACTTTGTGAACAAAAACAGGGTAATAATGAAAGGGATGGAACTTATGGAGGTGTTGGCTATTTACAAAGTAATGGGTAGAGCAAGGCTTTCAAGCCAAAATAGGCCTAGGTTCTGTTCTCAGCTCTGCCAGTTACCAGTTGGATGAGCTTGGTAAAGTTCCTTAACTTCTGAGTCTCAGAATCTTCGACTATGAAAGGAGAAGAGTCAAGGGAGAAAAGGAAGCACTTCATAGATGCTCCTTGAAGGCTTGCTTTCCCGTCTGCTCATTTATTATATGTGGACCTCACACCAGAATGGCCACTGGGAACTCAGATGACATTGTCCCTGGATCAGGGGCTCTCAGGCTAGGTTTGTTTAGCACAGGATGTGTTGATTGCCTGATCCTGATTTAAGGGAATTAGTCAAGAACTCTTGGGATTAGTAACAGAGAATGGGATCATGGGTTAAAATCTTGAAAATGATCTGGACTGGTTGGATTACATTTAGCTAATTATTCAGAAAGTGTGTATACTGTTTGATTTTAATTAGGCAGCATGTTTAGTGTTATTTAAAATAAGCACTTTCTGTTAAGGTTTTAGCTACTTTAATATATGTTTATCCCAACAACTTTGAGGATTAGGCTTTATGCTAACCTGCTCTGACAGTCTCTTTGAAATAGGCATCCTTTTGAAGGAAAAGATTATTTCTAAAATGTAAAGGTTTATTAATGCAAGCATATAAAGGATATTGTTCTTATGTGTAGTTTGGTACAATTTTTATGATAACCAGCTTTACCAATAACCAGTTTCTAAATATTCTCCTTGCATACATACTTCTTGAACTGTCAAAAATAGGATGCAGTAGGGCTGGCCCGTGGCTCATTTGGGAGAGTGCGGAGCTGATAACACCAAGGCCACAGGTTCGGATCCCTATTTAGGGATGGCCGGTTAGCTCACTTGGAAGAGCGTGGTGCCCCCGACACCAAGTAAAGGGTTAAGATCCCCTTACCAATCATCTTTTAAAAACAAACAAAAAAATAGTATATAGTAAAAGCAGAAAATGAAGATAGAGTGGTAAAAAAAATCTAGATGGTTTAGTCAAATCAACTTTTAAATAAATTCCTCACACATTAATTTCCCGTAGGTTCTATTGCTGAAAATGGCCCTACCACCTTGGTCGATAAAAAGATTTCAGATCTCAAAACTAACGGTGACAGTCAGCAGTCCTCCTCCTCTGGCCTTGCTGCAAGTAAAGCCTGCGCTGGGAATTCCTATCACAAGCAGTTGGCTGCTTTGAACTGCTCTGTTCGGGATTGGATAGTGAAGCACGTGAATACAAACCCGCTCTGTGATCTGACACCTATCTTTAAAGACTATGAGAAATATTTAGCGAATATTGAACAGCAACATGGGAACAGTGGCAGTAGTAACGCTGAAAGTAAAACTAACAAAATGTTGGTTGAAACACAGTCTCCGTCCCTATTTGGTTCAACAAAACTACAAGAGTCAGCATTTTTGTTTCATGGCAACAAAAGTGAGGATACATCTGAAAAGAAGATGGAGGTTGTGTCTGAAAAGAACATGGACCCATCGATAGGAACAAGTGCCTCGTTTAATTTTGGCAAGAAAATCGATAGTTCTGTTTTGGGCTCATTGAGCTCTGGTCCCCTGACTGGATTTTCATTTTCCCCTGGAAACTCCAGTTTATTTGGCAAAGATATCACCCAGAGTAAACCACTTTCTTCGCCATTTTCCACTAAAACATCAGAGAGCCAAGCTGAAGGTGGCAGTAATGAATGCAAAGGTAAATATAAAATTTATCATTGTAATTTGTTTTAGATTTTTGTCAGTTTTATGTTTAGTGGGGAAAGTGTGGACTTTTGATTTGGATGGATCTGAATCCTCATTGTAACTCCATCGTTTCCTCAATGTGTGAACCTGGACAAAGTTGATTAGCTCCTCTGAATCTCAGTTTCCTTTTTTGTAAAATGGAATAAGACCTATTTTGTAGGGTTATATGAGGACTAAGAATATAAAAATAAAATGAACGTAAAAACATCTGACCCAGTGACTTTGAAAAGTATCAAACACACGGCTTTGCATTTTTTTTTTTTTAAAGTGAATTAAAAATATTTTTTGAGGGCCGGCCCGGTGGCGCACTGGAGAGTGCACTGCTTGGGAGTGCGGCGGTGCTCCCGCCGAGGGTTTGGATCCCATGTGGAGACCGGTTCCCGCTCACTGGCTGAGCGCGGTGCGGGCGCAACACTGAGTGTTGCGATCCCGTTGCTGGTCCCCGGTACGGGTGCGACACCAAGGGTTGTGATCCTGTTACCGGTCAGTAAAAAAGACAAAAAAAAGAAAAAATATATATATATATTTTTTGAAAATTGTGTTTTATTTGAAAAAGTTCATCATGAGTGTCCACTGAATTAATTTGTATTTAGGAAGATTTGACTGTAAATAAAGTCACGTGGCAAAACAGTACTTGACTATAAATTAAAAAGATAGACTTGTTGTAGCAATAGGAAGCAAATCAACAGTGTTTTCCCTCTATGGGCTTGGATACAGCCACCTTTCCAGAAGGGCGGTGATGGTGTCTTAAGTGACATTTCTACTATTTGTAGTGTCAGTGCCCCAGACCAGGCAGAAGACATAGGCCTTAGTCCCAGCCCCTCTACTCCCTCTGTCCTCTCTTTAAAAAGTGTGGTTATATCATGATCCCCTTCATCACTTGGTGGTTGTGAACAAATGGTGTCTGTGAAGATACTTGTAAGCAGTTAAAAGCACACCTCCCAAGAGGTGTTAACATACTGATCCTTGAGAAAGAAAACCGCTATTGCCAATTTGCTGCTGAAATATATCTTTATGAACCTGGAGCTAGACTTTCGTTACTATTCTATCTTGCCCTACATTCAAGTATATCCTCAGGCAAAGGCTCTCAAGAGCAAAGGATAGAATAAGGGTCTCCCCTTTTAGTTCTTCTCTGCTCCCCTAAATAAGACAAATGGAGAGTCTTTCCTGTTCCTAAGGCAGTCACAGGAACACAGTGAATATTGAATTTGAAATGAATCTCAATCTATGCAGGACACCCCTCAGTACACTTACCTCATGGTTACCCACATTTTATGCATTTGACTTAGGAGCTTATTAAAATAAGAAATACCTGGGGCCCACCCTGGAGAGCCTGACTCAGGAGTCCTGGGATCTTTATTTTTTTAAAAATATCCTTAGGAGATTCTAGGCACACTGGCCTTATACACTACCTGGTTATAATTTAAATATTGTGACGTAAATTGTTTGAGCACCGGAATTGTTTTCGTTAGACACTTGCTTTTTAATTTAGTGAGTTTTATGCAACTGCCTTTCCTTTAAAAGGGTCCTGTATATTTGTGTTTACATAGTTCTTAGATCTCCCCCTGTGGTTGGGCACTGCAGTGAATGAAAGTGCTATTTGGGCTCAGTCAGCAGGGATACCTTTGGTACTAGAGCAGTGAGCCATGTGGCGATTCAAACAAAACTTAAATTATTTACACTTAGCTTTGGAACGATTTATCTGACAACTTGCCCTGTAAAAAAATGTATTCCACATCTTTGGCCATTACTGATATTGGTTATTTCTTGGCAAGATGCAGATCTGGTCACAGGAACATTTGGGAGGAAGGTGTTAGAAGTCCATCTGAGATTTTAATTTTCCAGTGGGTAATCTGAATATAAATAGTTGAATGTTGACTGATTATTTTTCTGTAAACATCATAAGCATGGATTTTTTATTTTTTATTATTATTTTTTTCCCCATCCTATCCTAGGGCTTTCTGCAATTTGGAAGTTATTTTAGAATAGAGAGGTATGTTCTCATTAAAAGTGATTTTTGTTTTTCACAAAATAAAATCCAGCAGGCACCCATCCCAAAAATTAGGTGTGCATTTTCAGTCTGTATATCAGCTTACATGGAACGTTTCAAGTTGAGGTTAGGGGTGGCAGATAACAAACTTGTGTCACTTTTTCAAGCTCTCGATTTGAATCTTACTGAGTTAGTGTCATTTTTATAAAAGGTGGAGATGAAGAAGAGAACGATGAACCACCCAAAGTAATAGTTACTGAAGTAAAAGAAGAAGATGCTTTTTACTCCAAAAAGTAAGTAATAATCACCAGAATATACCCGGTGGATGTGTTTCCAGAGACAGGGAAGGAATCTTCCAGACTGGAGATGGTGGGGTTAACATTGTCCTAATGGAACTTTACTGAGCATCCAACCCAATCCTGGAGTCAAGCTGTGCCTGCTCTGAACTGGAACAGGGAAGGATTCTTGGCTTGTTTATTTTAAAACAAACCAATTCTAGAAATTTCTTTCTGGGCATATTTTACTCTTTTCTGTTACTTTAGCTCTTTTTTGCTTTTACGGTGCTTTAGAGAGAGGCTTTTCTGTGATTTTCATACCCATCTTATCTCACACTTCTTTCCTTTTCTGTCCTTTCTTCTCTTCGCCCACAAAGAAAATCACTTAGCCACTGATTTCAGGTTTGGTTTTGCCCCTGCTCTTAATCTGGAGGCGTCATCTCTGATCCCTTTCTGGAGACCTGGTTAGCCTTTGTGGATTTTCTCACAGCCAAAAAGTTGTACACAGTGACTGCCCCTTCCTATTAAGGATGTATAAAAACGTCATCTTTCCTCCAGTAATGAAAGCTGTTGTTGTGTTTTTTGTTGTGTGTGTGTGTTTCAATGAGAATTGCTGCTTTCTGAAGAAAGTTTAAAGGAAAATTTGGATTATCACATCTCAATTAAATGAGATTACTTTTTACAAAGATATTTACTGAAAAACGTGTCATTTCAGAAGCTTTCCAAGATGTTTTTCTAATATAAAAATTTCAGAAGAATGAGTCAGCAGTTTTACATACAACAAATTACCACATTCTATGGAATTCCCAAGTGTTATTTTATTTTTGAAAACTTGTAAGAGGCCAACAATTCCTTGTTTGTTTTTAAATTTAATTACATAAATGACATAAAGGAGTGACCCTGAGTCTTAGGATTTTTTTTCTAATCAGAAGGAGTTGAATGAACAGGCATCGGTTTTGTTTTATTAATAACTTATGGAGATACACAGCATTAGAAGCTGGGAAGACATTTGATTACTTTTTTTTTTTTTCCTTTTTGTCTTTTTTTGTGTCCGGCAACGGATCGCAACCCTCAG